CTAAGCAGAATCGTTCGCGCTACCTCCAACAGGAAAAGAAAAAGTTACTCATTCCAGTTAGCTAAACCAGTTGCTGATAACACCCAGTAGACTTACCCAGAGTAGTTTTTTTTCTACAAGTCTGAACAACTTGATTAGTAATCAAACCTCAAACATTGACCAGACCAAGAAAATTTTGTGCTTTTTAAAATTAGAGGGGATGGAGACACTATTCAAGGTTGCTCCTAAGAAATAACTCTGGAGGACTGGAGTGATAGCATAGAAGATAGGGCGTTTTTCTTGCACTCGGCTGACCCGGGTTCAATTCCCAGCATCCCATATAGTCAGCACTGCCAGGACTAATTCCTGAGTGCAGAGCCAGGAGTAACCCCTGAGCATTGCTGGGTGTGACCCAAAAGAAGAAAAAAAATAATTCCGGAGAGATTTTGTCCCAAAATAAGCTTGGTGGTCAGTCCCATGCGCTCTTTGTCTGTATAGGTCTTATCTGAGCTCAGAAAACTGCACCAAGAGCACTTGCTACCAAGGAGGATGAGGAGAAAGAGCAGTGTTTGGACACAGCTGGGGCGTTGGCTCTTTGAAAGGTGCTTAGTGTCCCTCACCCTTGAGAGGCAACTACAGATACACCACAGAAACCAAAACAATCAGTGCATGTGCAGTGGAGAGAAAATTGTTAAGAAACTCGTTGCTCTTTTCATTGCCACCTATTCCCAGAACAAGTACTTTGTGGGGATCTTTTGTGCTCAAAAGCATAAACTAAGTGATCATGTGATTGCTTCTAAGGGCTGAGTAAGGAGAATCATTCACACCTACTCCAGCTGAAAATACATACATAAATAAAGCAACCAGAGTTCTTGCTTGTTCATTTTCTACTTTGTCTACTAAGGATATATGTTGCAGTTAGCAAAGGACAAAATATAATTTGTATTTCTTTTTTCAATCTGGATTGGTTTGGGGATTACACCCAGTGGTGCAGGGTCATTTTCGGTGGTGGTGCTCAGGGAGACATGCTGGACAGGGCTCCCCCTGGCCTCCCACATGCATAGCAGGCACAAGATTTTTTTTTTCCCTTTATTTTATTTTATTTTTTTTAAAGTTGTAGATTTACAATTTTTTGTGCTTTGGTTTCAGTTATACAATGATCAGATACCCATCCCTCCACCAGTGCCCATTTTCCACCACCATGGATAATATCCCTCCCACCCCCATCCCCCCATCCCCCCTGTCTCTGTGGCAGGGAAATCCCCTGTGTTCTCTCTCTCCTTTTGGGTGTTGTGGTCTGCAAAAGAGGCATTGAGTGGCAAACATGTTCAGTCCATAGTCTACTTTCGACATGCATCTCCCCTCCTGGGAGGATCCTCCAAACATCCTTTATTTGGTGCTCCCTTCTCTATCTGAACAGCCCTTTCCTCTAGGATACCCGGCTGGCCTCTAAGTTATGGAGTAATCCTCCTGGTGCTGATCTCAGCTATTCTTGGGTATTAATCTCATACTTTGTTACTTTATATCCCCCAGATGAATGCAATCTTTCTATGTCTATCCCTCTCTTTCTGACTCATTTCGCTTAGCATGATACTTTCCATATTGTACCACTTGTATGTAAATTTCATGACTTCATCTTTTCTAAGAGCTACATAGTACTCCATTGTGTAGATGTACCAAAGTTTCTTTAACCAGTCATCTGTTCTTGGGCATTCAGGTTTCTTCCAGTTTCTGGCTATTGTAAAGAGTGCTGCAATGAACAAACAAGTGCAGATGTCACTTCGACTATACATTTTTGCCTCTCTGGGATATATTCCCAGGAGTGGTATTGCTGGGTCAAATGGGAGCTCAATTTCTAATTTTTTGAGAATCGTCCATACTGCAGGCACAAGATTTGAACTAGCTACTGGGCTCGTGATTTGTAATTTTTTAAAATTTAAAACTGTATGCTGGCTACCTACAAAAATAGTTGCTTTCATTTATCTGTGTTCCCTTTAGGATTTCTGCAAATTCACATATAAATTCTCTGCAAGGGTAATTATTACAGATACTCAGTTTCACATTCTGCTACTGTGAAACATTGCTAGCCCTGAGAAATCAGAGATCAGAGAGCTTCCGGGATTGGCTTGCAGACTGGCAGGGTGCTCAGAAGTTCTAGCTTGTGATAAAACCTGTTTGGATGATGATGCGCGATCACAGTTTACACATCTGGTTGTTGTTGTTGATTTTTTGGGGGGGTTTTGCCTATGAAAATGTATAGTTTGTTAATAGCACCATAAATTATTTGGAAGAAGAACTCTGCTCACTGGAAAAGAAACATGAATAGGTTGAGATTTTTATGGGTTTGAATCAGCCAAATCAAACACAGGCTTTCCTGAAGCTTCCAAGTATTTAATGGAAACTCATGGTCCTCAGAACTTTTCTGCCTAATTATAATTCATGCCCTTTCTTTTTGCAGATACATTACAGAATGGATCAAAAGGAAAATGTTAGACATGTTCACTTGTGATTTCTATTGTGTAACTTGCAGAGTTCCCACTGCATATGTTGAATGGCCTGGTGTGTGCAAAGACTTAGGCCAGGTTCTGGCAGGCTGAATTTCTTCAGTAGGAAGGAGAAAAATCAATTTTCAATATTGCAAATATTGACTACATGCCTAGATACAGAATGAGCCTTTCTTTTTATGATCATTGTTATTATTATTTACTCAAGCATCATGATATGTTAATATTAATATTTTGAGAATATCATGTTGCTATCCAGCACCAGAGTATCAGCATCCTCCAACATGGACCCCTAGGTCCACACACACACACACACACACACACACACACACACACACACACACCTTAGCGAGAGCAGTTCTTTAGACATGAGACTCTCAGGAGCTGGATATTTTTTATCTTCTTACTTTGTTCCTTTAAACTCCACATATAAGAGGGATCAACTAGTACTTGTCCTTCTCCATCTGCCCTACTTTGCTTGACAGGATGCCCTTCAGTTCCATTCATGTAACAGCGAACTGCAGGATTTACCCGTTCTTATAACTCAGTAATAGTCCATTGTGTGTGTCTACCATGATTTATTTATAGACTCCTTTGTTCTTGGCCACTTGGGTGTTGCCCTACTCCAATTATTGTGAGCAGTGCTGCTATGAACATAGATATGCAAATATGTTTTAATTAATGCATTTGGGTTCTTGGGATAGAGACCAAGAATCAGAACAGAATCACTCTCTCAGATGCAAATTCATTTCTTAATTTTTTTGAGAAGCCTCCATATTGTTTTCCATAGAAGTTGAGTCAGATGAAATTGATGTTCTTTCCAATAATAGATGAGGGTTTCTTCTTCCCCACACCCCTGCCAGCTCTACTTGTTGCTATTCTTTTTTCATTTTTGCTACTCTCACTAGTGGGAGCATTTATCTCCTTGTTATTATTTATGTGCATTTCTCTGATGATATATGATATTTATGTTCACTTCTTCATTTTTAACTATAGGCCATCTGCATGCCTTTTCTTTAGGAAGTGTCTGTACAGCTCTTCTTCTCATTTTTCTGATGGGATTTTTTTTTTCTGCTTTTTGGTTCACACCCAGAGAGGCTCAGGTGTAGCTCCTGGCTCTGCACTCAGGAATCACTTCTGGTGGTGCTTGGGGGACCCTATGGGATGTCAGGGATCAAAGCCGGGTCTGCCGCATGCAAGGCAAGTGCCCTCCTTACTGTGCTATCGCTCTGGCCCCAGGGGTCATTTACTTTTGCTGCTGCTGTTGCTGGAGCGATAGCATAGCTGGTAAGGCGTTTGCCTTGCATGTAACTGACCTGGGTTCGATTTCTCTGTCCCTCTCGGAGAGCCCGGCAAGCTACCAAGAGTATTCCACCCTCCTGGCAGAGCCTGGCAAGCTCTCTGTGGCATATTCATTATGTCAAAAACAGTAACAAGTCTCACAATGAAGATGTTACTGTTATCCTCTCGAGCAAATGATGAACAATGGGAGGACAGTGCTACAGTGCTGTTGTTGCTAAGTTTTGTGAGTGCTTTATAGATCTTCAACATTCACACTTGGTCAGGTGTGTGGTAAGCAAATTTTTTTCCATTAATTTGGGTGTCTTTTTATTCTAGTAATTATTTCTTTTTGCAGTGCAGAGAGATTTTATGTCATTTATTTACTTTTGCTTCTTCCTTCACCAGTGGCATTGAATCATTGAAGATGCCTCTGAAGCTTGTATTTTGGAGAGTCTACTTATCTTTTCCTTAATATTTTGTTTCTTCTGGTCTAATCTCAAGATCTTTAATCCACTTTAAATTAACCTTTATGTATAATGTGAGATAGTGTCCAGATTCATCTTTTTGTTTGTGACTAACCAGTTTTCCCAGCACCATTTGTTGAAGAGGTTTTCCTTATTATACCAATTATGCTTAGATTTTCTGTCAAAAATTAGCTTCCATATTCCTAAGGGTCTGTTTCTGTGTTCCCAATTCTATTTTTTGGTCTGAGAATCTGTTTTTATTCCCATTCCATTGGACTCTCAATTCTATTCTTGGTCTAAGACGTTGTATTTATTCAAGTAGCACATTTTCTTGATTACTATAACTCTATATTATAATCTAAAGTTGGGAAGAAAGTGTACCATTTTCTTTTTCTCCAGGATTGCTTTGGCCAAGAGAGTTTTATTACTCCATAAAAATTTTAGCTGTATTAGGTACATGTTTATAAAAAATATTACGAGAATCTTCATAGGAACTCTATTGAATCAGCCTAGTATTTTGGATGGAGGGTTATTTTAATAATGTTAATTCTTTCGATCCACAAATAATGAAGATGTTTCCAGAATAAATCTTCTCTATGTGATGATACATAAACAGTCAGTGTCAGAATTTAATTTATATTTAAATTAAAACTAACTCATGCCATGCTCTTTACCAGAAAGATCCTTTTGAAACCCAGACACACAAGCTACCAAGATTTCATTATAAAGAGAGCTTTTCCTTTTTTTCTCTTTCTTAAAAATAAAAAAACAGGTCTAACCGGACTCAAAGGAGAAAAAGGAAATCCTGGTATTGGATCCCAAGGCCCAAGAGGTCCCCCTGGACCAACAGGTAAGTTTTCCTACCTTAAAAAAAAAAACTGCAAGGTAGAAGCATCAGTCTTTATATTCACTTGATGGCACAATTTTGTATCTAAACTGGAATGACTCAGCTGCATTTATTCTAATGAGAAACTAATTTATTATCACTGATCTGAACATGTAGACCCTATAAAGTCACAGTATATTCTGGGATCTTAAAGATAGCCTGGGTTAGATCAGGGTAGGCTTTGGTATAATAGCAAAGCAAATGCTTAGTGGATTGATATACCAGTTAATTTCACACTTATGCAAAGTTTGATGTAGATATTATTTGGAATATTTTGAAACAAATGTCACTGTCAGGGAGAAGCATAAAAGAGACACAAAGACACACGTGTATTTTCCATTTCTTAAATGCAGATTGACCGATGTCACTCACACTCACTACTGACTGAAACTAGTCACATAGTCCCAACCGACCCACACAGGATGCAGGAAATCTAAAGGAACTCATGGCTACTCACTGAGCACTGGTTTAAGCCACCATGATTATTTTAATAAATGGGTTTGTTCTAAGTTTCAGGTTTTGTGAAATTTACTGTCTGATTTTAGAATAGTCTCCAGATAATACCTATGATTAGAATTAGAAGTTTTTAATCCTATTACTTATATACATATATATGTATAAATATATGTATCAAATATTTTTACAGATTTTTATTTAGCCTAATAATAATTCTGGAAAATACCTTTTCTAGGAGAGATGCTTAATACAATAGATTCCTTTTGAGTATAAATACTCCTGCTATTTTCTCCCTTATAAGGAACTAATCTAACACCACACATTTCACAGAATGGAAGTTTAATTAAATGACACTGAACGTGTCTAGTGATTGTTAAATACACTGTCCCTGTCACTGTCCTCCCGTTGTTCATCGATTTGCTCGAGCGGGCCCAGTAACTTCTCCATTGGAGACTTTGTTGTTACTGTGTCTGGCATATCGAATACATCACGGGGAGCTTGCCAGGCTCTGCCATGTGGGCGAGATACTCACAGTAGCTTGCCGGGCTCTCCGAGAGGGGTGGAGGAATCGAACTCAGGTCAGCCATGTTGGCTGCGTGCAAGGCAAATGCCCTACCAGCCCTTTAAATACACAGTGACACTTATTTCTAACTTTCATTCCAGTAGTTGACTGAAAATGTTTTATTTCTAGTTGAAGAAACTGTTGGAAGCCAAGCCTAAAAACAAACATGAAAACCAAAACCCAACCCAACACACATTTTTGTCGTTGTTTGGCGGCCACCCCTACCATGCCACCAGTAGTGCTAGGATTTACTCCTGGCTCTGTGCTCAGAGATCACTCCTGGCAGAGGATGGCGGGCTATGCAAGGCAAGGATCCTATGTGCTAGGCTATCTTTCCAGCCCCTAATGCCACATTTCTTAAACTTGTAAAAAAAAAAAAAGGTGGCACTTTTCAGTCAATTTAAGGTCTCAATTATTATAAACTAGCCTGAAGAAATGCTAAATTAGTATATTCGCATTTCATTTCCTCTTTCTTCTACAATTTCACCTTTTAACTTTTCCAGGATAATTTCTTTTAGATTCACACTAATTAATTTAAATTGCCTGGGACCATAAACCCGTATAGGTTATGAGGTTCAGATCAAATGTGTTCATGTGTGTGTATATCCTGCATGCACAGTACACATGTGTTGCATGCATAAAGAACTACTCTGTGAAAAAGAAACTTCGGGTGCCAGAACGATAGCACAGAGGGTAGAGTGTTTGCCTTGCATGCGGCTGACCTGGGTTCAATCCCCAGTGTCCCATATGGTCCCCCAAGCACCGCCAGGAGTAATTCCTGAGTGTAGAGCTAGGAATAACCCCTGAGCATCGCTGGGTGTGACCCAAAAAGCAAAAAAAAAAAAAAAAGAACTTTGTAGAGACAAAAAACGGTCAAGAACAGTTGTTTTAGTTTTAGTTTCGAATAGGAGGTGACAAAAAGCACTGACTTCTCAGAGATCTTCTGCTTTCATTATAATCTTCTGCCCAGGGAATTCAGTTTAGGAATAAAAACTGCGTGAATAGAGAGAGGTTGATGATCTTGTCAAGTTGGGAAATTTTGCTTCTTATATGAATAAATTCCTTCAGGATTGTCTCAAGACTCTCCTGTGATGGTCAGAGACCAACTGTCTTCATATGTGGGTACTTTCTAGGACCATCAGGCGAGAGTCGACCTGGAAGCCCTGGGCCTCCTGGTTCTCCTGGACCAAGGGGACCACCAGGCCACCTGGGCATACCTGGACCCCAAGGTCCTTCTGGCCAACCTGGTTACTGTGATCCTTCTTCATGTTCTTCCTATGGAGTAGGAGGTAAGTGTCAGTGTCTTATGGAGTCTGAGTAATACTTTACTATTATCACTAGCATAATGGTGAGGGGGGTGCTGTGGAAAGTTGATGGGTTGTAAGAGGGAAGCAGAGTTCGAGCTGCTCATTGCCTTATATTTCCCAGAGACATTTTCTGTGAAGTTCTAATTACAATTACAGGCTCACTTTAAAAAACCTAAAGAGGAAATAAGAGTATCTTCCTTAAGTCTTCATTGCTTCCAAATCTACACTGATTTGGTCTCTGATCTCATATTTGGCAATGGAGAACATGCTTGAACGTTCTTTTTGGCCCTCATTGCTGTTGTTGCTGTGCATAGGCCATGATCTCCTGAAATATTTTACTATGGTTTGGAGGACCACCTCAAACATAGAACTTCTCCCATGATTATAAGGACTTCTAGATGCTTTGGGCTGACATTTGCCAGCCGCAATTCTTTAGGTGGCCGGCGATACATTTAAAAAGAGACTAGTGTGACCGTGCTGTCCCCGCCTCATTACTAACTACTGGACTGAGATTCTGGAAAGACTGTGCTTCCTAAACCGTATGCCATTTGCATGCAGGCGGGTTGTGCAATGCAAAATTTTCCTGGAAGCATCAAGAGGGATGTGTGGGGTCGGCTTTGATGCAACAAACCTACTAGCCAGTGGATGTTAGTGGTCTTGCCTTAGTAGAAATTTAACCATATTTGCCAGAGAACTGGTTGACGTTTTGCTGATATATTTTTCTCTTTTCATCTCTTCCCTCCTTGTTCTCTTAAATCTTCCTCTCTCTCTTAAGATATGATCCCTTACAATGATTACCAGCACTGAAGTGGAATGCATCCACTCTGATTACGTTGGCCTGGGAAATGGGCTACCCACAGTGCACTGTTTATTGACCCTCCTCCTAACCATGGGCACTCCCCTTCCCCACCTTCCCTGCTTTCCCACTGCCCAGTATCACCCTCTTACATTCCCTGCTCCAAACACATAAAGTGATAAGATTGACGTTTCAACCATGTAGATTGTAACAGAGACTAAATGCCCCACCTCACCTTGAGTGTAGTTATGTGATTGTGTACCAGGAATTTACCACAGACTCCTAATGTAAAGAGTAGGAATAAGATTGGGTAATAAATATGTCTTCTTGGGCCAGAGATAGCACAGCAGGCAAGGCGCTTGCCTTGCACATGACCAACCTGGGTTCAATCCTTATCAGCCCATATGATCCCCTGAGCACTCTCAGGAGTGATCCCTGAGTACAGAGCCACCAGGAGTAAGCTCTTAGAACCACCAGATGTGAACCATCTTCCAAAATAAACAAACAAATAAATAAATATACCTTCTCTTCACTCCTGTTGCCGCCTGACATTGAAGGGGGCACCTTTCTCCCTGGCTCCCCTTCTCTCCAATCTTACCATCCTCCATCTCCATCCTGTTCCCTGGTGATGGGTTTGCAACTAGAGATCACATGTAGAAATTTGTTTTTCTTTTCTAAGTCTGTTGAGTTTTCAGTATTTTTTTTGTAAATAAAACATATCATATTTAGGCAGTTGGCTGTGTTTTTAGTTTTCTAACAATCTTCTGCAATGCATTGCTACATTGCTCCTTTCTTTTACTAACCGCCTGAAGCCTTGTAAGGAACGTGCTAGCAGCATGGGGAAGGAGAATCTTCTGCTTTGTCCCCAGGCCAGATAGCTCTGCAGTTCAATAACCAACTCTAATGATTCATTTAAGGGAGAATATCAATTTATGGTTCCTGGGTCCCATCAAGTCCCCACCCCAATCTTCCTCTCTAGCTCCCCATCCTGATCAGCCAGAATTTACGCCTGTTCAAGATGAGCTGGAAGCCATGGAACTGTGGGGTCCAGAGAACTGATAACCTCAGGAGAAATTTGAAGACCAACTACAAGAACTCTCAAGGCATCTTACTCAAGAACAATGTCAATATGTGGTGTGTACGTGACCTTCGAGGGAGGGGAGCTCATTTCATCACTCAAAACATCCATCTTGGATATTGTTAATATTACTGCTATGAGTGACCAAAAATTATATATATCTGAAAATTCCCCTAAATTGTGGAATTGATTTTTCTTTCTTGATTTAGTCACATGCCAGGTAATATGTTTTATTTTTCTGGAAAATAAAACTCAAAGAAAAATTAAGAAACAAAAAACCAAAACTGAACTCTGAATCTTTTAGTGAGATGATCTCAAGTCTGTACTGTAGTAAAATTGATATGGTTCTATTCCAGGGAGATGGGACCCTGGAAGAATAGGAAATAAGAGAAATGAATTGATTGTGTCATTTATCTTGAGCCCCTTAGCCTTGCAAAAACAGAAGAAAAGGATTTTCTTAGAAAAGCAACCTCTTGTTTACCTGGCCTGTCCAACTCTAAGATCATTGGTAACTCACTTCACTGATATCCAAAAATATATGTTAGAACATAGTTTTCTTCAATTTGATGATTCAAAAAGATAGACTTAGTGTCTTAGTGGGATTTCATATGTAAAATAATGATCATCTGCTCATACTGATGCAAAGATCCAATTTTGAGGAACAGTTTATCCAGCAGTATCCCAAGAGTCACCCTTTTCTTACACACTGATGATTTGTACATATAGATATGTTTTTGCAAACTGATTTTCATTGTTTTTTATAAGCAAATAAAAATTTTTAAATAAGTATGGGTTACGTGGATTCTTTTTAATGATTTCTAAATGTCACCTTAAGCTTTTGAAGTTTGAGTTAATTTTAACTAGAAATATGACAGTTACCTTCCTTTAGAGAAGCATTCAAGAGATTGCATTCATCTGGAGAATATAAAGTAACAAAATAGGAGACCAACATCCTAGAATGGTCAAGATAAGCTACAGGAGGTTTACTCCATGGCTTGAAGGTCAGCCGCATAAGCTACGGGAAAGGGCAGCTCAGACAGAGAAGGGAACACCAAGTAAAAGGTGTTGGGAGGATTCTCCCAGGATGGGAGATGCATGCTGAAAGTAGACTATAGACAAACATGTTTGCCACTCAATGCCTCTTTTGCAAACCTTAGCAACCAAAAGGAGAGAATGAACAAAAGGGAATGCCTTGCCAGAGAGGTGGGATGGGATGGGGGTATGGGAGGGATGGGAGGGTTACTGGGATCATTGGTGGTAGAGAATGGGCACTGGTGGAGGGATGGGTATTTGATCATTGTATAACTGAAACCCAAGCACAAAAACTTGTAAGGTCAACAACTGTACCACATGGAGTTTCACTAATAAATTTTTTTTAAAAAAAGAATTAATTCATTCTGCACATAGCAGAAAATTTAACACAAGAATCAGTACACTTGGACATAAATCAAGCATACCATGGTCAATCGATGATTTACTATGGAGCAAAATCTTCGTGGAAAATCTCTCGGGTGGTAGGATTGGTGTTGGAACATCAAAAGCCTAAAACAACTTTACTATAAGTGTGGTGTTTAAATACAAGAAAAGAAAAAATTCTGTTAAAAGGAGAAAGAGAGAAGGAAAGAGAGAGGGAGAAGAAAGAGAGAGAAAGGAAGGAGGGAGGGAAGGAAGGAAGGAAGGAAGGAAGGAAGGAAGGAAGGAAGGAAGGAAGGAAACTTTGCACAATGGAGTCCCAGGTTGAAACCCCCACTTCACATGGATCTTTGATCACTACCAGGTATGACCCAAAATTTAACAGAAAAAAAAAGGGAGAGAGAGCAAATGGACTTTTTTTTAAAAAATAATTTATTTATTTATTGAATCACTGTGGGAAAAGTTACGAAGCTTTCAGGTTTAGGTCTCAGTCATGCAAATATCAAACACCTTTCCCTTTACCAATACTTATTTTTTACCATGAAGAACCCCAATAAAACCCCACCCCCCACCCATCCCAATGCCTGCGAGGCAGATGAATTCTAGTTGACACTCTATCTGCTTTGGTTAGATTCATTGTTTCAATAAAAGATGCACCACTATTATTTAGAGTTTACCCCCTGCCCCCAAATCAGACATGCTGAGAAAGCATTGTGAAGTGATTCGCTTTCTACAGCTGGGTTCAAGAATTAAATGTTGGTTTTGGATTTCCACTATTTTGCTAATTAACCCTGGAAGTATTTCTACTGAGAGTCAGATAATTAAGAGGTTGGTTTCTGTGCTCTGGAGTCGTGGTCGTGCTGGAGAGCCGCTCGTGGGGGGCAACTGGCGGCCTCAGTAGGGCGTGAAGGACGGACCGGAACGCCCCCCATCCCATGAGGTTTTAGTCGCCCCAACACCCCCGGCTCATGCCTGCTGTCCACAAGGCTCCCATGCGGCCGCCATCCTTCTTTCCAGAGAAGAGAGGGCGAATGGGGCAACACCTTTTCCCCTCCGGGCAGACATGATGGCCTGGATTAACGCATAGTCCGTTCACTTTTCTGCTCCAAGCTGCTGGATTCTGCATTAAGTCCTTGTGCTTCTGGGGCTGTGACCATGCTCCAAACTTAACTCTGATTTTCAGGGAGAAACGTTGGGTGATTTACTTCCCATTGATCACTTTGTATATACAGAGATGTCTTATGCGGCCGCGCGGTTTGGAGGAAAAGTCCTAGTTCCCGCATACTCAAGCTATGCTTGTGGAGGCTTCTGGTCACCGGGGTTCCATCTGGGGGAGGCGGGATGCGGCACCTACCCCATCTGGGACTTCCCGGTGATCTCGGCTCTTTTTGGAACCTGGTGTCTTCTCCGGGAGCTGTGGAGCCAGCCCTCCATGTGGTCCTTCTTCTCTCTGTACGGCTGTGTACTGTAAAGATGGCGCTGGGGGGCGGGCCGTGGGCCACAAATGGACTTTGATACTCTTTAGACAGCAGTAAAGAAAGGAATTAAATCTATCAGATTATAGCCACTCAATTTTAATTTGTCTTTTACTCACAAATGAAAAATCCCAACATTTGAGAGAAAGTAAGCTTTAGTCATTCCTTATTGGAACTATGAATGAAAGAAAACCATAAATTTGGTAAGTGATCCTTTCCCTATACTTTCTCTGTAGTAATACCTAAGTTGTAAAAGCTGAGATGGCAGTGGGTCTGGGGAAATAGTTCATGGGTTATGGAGCATGTCAAATTGATATTGTTCCAAATCCTGGCACCACATGCCCCTACCAGGGTGGCACTGCATCCTCGGACCTTACCACTGCTCTCCGAGTGGTTTGAATATTACCTGCAGGAGCCCTTGGGGTCCCCTGATTATAAATTGAGAATCTTCCTCCAGAGAAAATCTGAGATGGGTCCCTTTGTAATGAGAATTCTGATTCTTCTGCAATCAGAAAGGTCTTCTGACCTTTGATTCCTCCTCCCAACATAGATGTTTTCAATCCAAAGGCTCAATCACTATACACCTGTGTGCATTGGAGATTTATTTTTCTCTGGGTGCTTTTTCAGGAATGAAAATATACAGTCTCTGGGTATCTTTACAGGTATGAAAACATACAGTGTGCTTCCAATTAGTAGCTACTCATTCTGGATGATGGGATATAATTACACATGGAAAAAGCAGGACTTACGAGAGGAAAGCTTGTCAACTTTGAACAAGGTAACCTGACCCAGAAAAACCTTCAAGACATTCTCTTTTTGTGAATAACCAGTATCTGTTGTTAGTCCTTTTGTATCCTTGGATCTCAGATTTCTCAGACTTTAATACATGATGGAAAAAGGCAGAAAGAGTCTGCATTAAGGTTTGGGCCTTGGAAACTTATAGTCTAATATTTTATCATTCAGAGGACTCTCAAGGTTTTATACATGATGAAATATAAGCCATCGGAATTTCTAATCAATTACCTTGTCTGTCCTTAAGTGGTTCAAATACATTTACCTTTTCCCCACTACTTTTGCCACACCCATCCTTCCATTATCAGTCTTGCTGTGTAGCAGGAGCTACTTTAGTTTTCCCAGGATTAAATGCTTGAATGAGAGCCAAGAGGTAGTCCTTGCATCCTACAGACCCCAACTCAGTTCCAGCCACCACATTGAGTCCCCTAAGTAACACCGGGTATCACTTAATCCTAAGCAAAGTCAGGAATAGCCCCCTGAGCACCTCCAGTTGTGGCCTCAAAACAAAATAAGAGAAACCTCGAGTGAGAGATTTGGGGTTTTTCATATGAAGGTTTTTCATTTTCAGAGGTTGAGAAAGACAGGAAATAAGTGAAGAAACAATTTTAAAATTGATTGCAAATTGTGACAAATAGGATAAGGAGCTAGAAGACGTGCTGAAAAAATGAGGAGTGTGTGCTCCGCCTCCAGGGGCCAGAGAAGTTGAGCTGAAAGACTCCTGTTAAGCTGAGACATGAGTGTAAGAAAAACATAAGGGAGAATTCCAGCCCGGGGGCTGACAAGCCCAAAGACCTCAATCATAAACCTGTCATATTCAAGGAACAGAACAAAGCCTAGTGTGGCAGGAGAGTGAAGGGAAAAGTGTTTAAGGGAAGATTGTTAACCAAGTAAGCAGGGCTGTGTTCGCAGGTGGTAACTGTGATCTTTTCAAATCCACGCAAAGCAATTTATGGGTGCTCAGCAGAAGTGTGACCTCCTCTGGCGTGTGTGCTATGTTAGAGATGGAGAATTGATCTTCATCGAGCCTCATTGCTGAACTCCTCCAAAGCTGTTATTAGGTAGCTACTATAGTTCTGTCCTGCTCCAAGAGCTTTGAAGTGGTTCCAGTTAGGCTGGGCTAGGAGACAGCGTAGTAAGAACAACCCCTCCATCTTCAGAATGTAGCACAACACATTTATTTCTGGCTCACTTAAGAGAGCAGGGCAGCTGTGCCCACATCTTTATTTGTTGTCGAATTCTGCTTCTGTCTTGTTCGCTCTCTTATCAACACATACTCCCGTCACCGGCACAAGAAGAGAAGAGAGAACACGAGAACCATCTCCCCAGCTCTCTGCAGAAGGAACACATATAACTTTCACTCCCTTCTCACTAGTCTCACCAAATTGCATGAGTACATGTAACTTCATCGGGTTGGAGTACAGTAATTTCCATGTATTAGAAAGTAAGAAGAAAACCTTCAAAATTGGTGAGAAGTCAATGAGAGCTACCATTTGCAGTCTTGGCTTGTTTTCTTGCCAGGTATTCTGAACTGTTGGGCTTTTACTTGTTAACACTTGGTCGAAGTGTTAACACAGGGGGTTGGTACAACCTCAAGTTTGCCAGGCAAATGCTTTAAGCCTTTGTGCCATCTTCAACACTACCACTTTTGACTCATCTAATGCTCACAAAACCCCAACAATATTTTGGTTTTGTTTGGTTGATTTTTGGTCTTTTTTTAAATTTATTTTTTTAGTTCTCTTTTATTCTGATGGACCCAAGGAGGAGAAAGAAGCACAGAAAAGTTAGGACAATAAGCATTATGCCTCAAAGTATCTGCTCTTAATCTCCAGGCGGTCTTCACCACTTATTGAGAGCTCTTAAATGTTCATGACAAAAGGGAGTGGTCGGATGGCCCCAGAGGCACACGGACCTAATTTGGAGCCCAGCAGCTTCTGGCAGAAATATGAATGGACTATACCTTAAGCTATGGCGCTATGCCCACCACCCCAGAAGGGAAAGGGAGTCTGTCTTGTTCGCCATTTCCCCCACCCCCTGGCGGTATGGTGGCTGCCGCCTAGGATCTTATTGGACAGCCAGGTATGAGCCGGTGGTGATGGG